GGACTACATATCCCATCATTCATTGCACTCAACACGGATTGCACACAGCTGTTTCACATCACTCACTCACTATATAACACTCACTCAAACTACCATTCACTGCCGAGTATTGCTTAGCCTGTTAGTTTTCCTAGTTCCTGTTTCCTTCCTGTGTTTCCTTGTTTTGCCTTGCCTTGTTGGTTTCCTTGGTTCTGATCTTTGCCTGTCTCCCTGGATTTATCCCTCTAGTCTCGCCCCTGTGATTCTGTCTGCCGATCGTCGACCTACGCTAGCCCTAGGACTATTCTTGTGTTTTGCCCGCCATATACCTGTTTGCCATTGTTTGACCCTGCCTGTTACGACCACTTCTCTGTCTTCTGTTCAGAATAAAGCTTGCACATGGATCCACATGTCTCACGTCTGGTCAGCCCCGTAACACATAGCATTATAATGAGAACACTATTATAATAAAATGCTGTGATTTTTAGTTTAGTTGCCGTGTTTCTGCACGTTGTTGTGTGAAGAACGCATCCACAAAAGGAGTTCATTCAGAGCCGCACAGACACGTTCGTGCATTCGGGGCATTTTGTGCAGATAACGCCAATAAGTCGTAATATTAACGTTATGTTGTATAAATAACGAAACATATTCTATATGAGATAAACGATGAGTTAAATCCCATTGATTGAAAACCTGCTGCTTCATTCTACTGGTCATCTTCAGCGCGTGCAGCTCAAAACAGAAATGCAGAACATATGTTTACATATAAACATGTAATAATTAATTTCATTTTTATAACTTTATAATAAGCGCACTATTGTAAAAAAAATTGTGAATTCTTAGGGTTTCGCTGACGTTTAATGTTAACTATCTTTTAATCAAAACATAAAACATTATTTGCCCCATTTGTATCTGCGAGGTGTCCGTTACACATTTTCCATGCTTTCCACATCATCTCCACGCTCCTCGTTCTTACACAGCAGCATAACCATGACAGAACACCGAACCGAAGAGAAAGCAGCGCCCCGTTTTTTTTGTTTCCTTTTTGAAAGTGTTTTCTTTTCCGTCCCTCCCCCGCGCTTAATAATGGAGATCACATTGCCAAAAAATCGATTCGCCACCCTAGCCCGCAAGGATCTCCCGTTGTTGAGTTCGCCTGGGAATTCTGCAGGTTCGCCGGTAAGATGGCACTTGGCGACGCCACTCTTAACTCTCTGTTCTGGATCGGGGCAAATTACTACCCTCCTGTTGATCTCCCAGACACCACTGGACTAAGCTGGAGGGAAGGGATCCTCTGGTGTCTGGAGAGTGTCCGGCCCCGATCCAGAAACCAGCCTGCCGTCAAGCCCACCGGCCACTCAGCAAACGAGCCCGCCGGCTGCAGCACTCTCAAGCCCACCGGCTGTTCCGAATTCAAGCTCGCCGGCCGCGCCACTCTCGAGCCCGGCGGCCGTTCCGAAGTCAAGCCCGCCAGCCGGTTCACTCCCAAGCCCTCAGCTGACAGCAGCCCGATCCTTAACCCCAGGAATCTGAGGAGTAAGTGACTGTTGGCTCGAGCCCCTGAGTCCGCTCCAGTGTCAACGCCAGCCCCTGAGTCCGCTCCAGTGTTGGCTCCAGCCCCTGAGTCCGCTCCTGAAAGTGCTCCAGTTCCCACGTCCAGCCCAAGGAGGGCTCCAGTCCCCACGTCCAGGCCAAGGAGAGCTCCAGTCCCCAAGTCAATCCCAGGAAGGGCCACGGCACCTACGTCAGGCCCACGGAGGGCCTCAGGACCCGGAATTTCCCCCAAGGAATTTTTTTGGGGGGGGCTACAGGGCTCCGGCCGTAGTGGCCGGGCCAAGTGCCGAGGCCAAGGCCACGGAGGCTGTTCAGCCATGGCCCCCTGAATTGTCTGCTCCTCCATGGTCTCCTGAACTGTCTGCTCCGCCATGGCCTCCTGAACTGTCTGCTCCGCCATGGCTCCCCGAGCTGCCTGCTCCGCCATGGCCCCCCGAGCTGCCTGCTCCGCCATGGCCCTCTGAGTTCCCTGCTCCGCCATGGCCTCCTAGTCTGCCTGCTCCACCATGGCTCCCTGAGCTGCCCGCTCCGCCATGGCCCTTCGAACTGCCTGATCCGCCATGGGTCCCGGAAAGGGTACCGCCCTGGAGGCCTTCTGTCATGTGTAAGCCTGTGCCCATGCTGCGTGTGTGTTCCTGTCAGTGAGTTTTTGTTGGAATAAATAAATGTTCCTCGTAAATTCTCCATCGTCTCCACGCTCCTCGTTCCTACACAGCAGCATAACCGTGACTATAGATATACATATATGATTTGACTCTTATACCACATTTTAATGGTCCAGTAACATTTTATTTAACAAACCAACCATTCACTTGCATTTGGCGCTTGGTGAATGTTCATTGTCAACTCTGACTTTGAATGAAGAAGGGGATTTGAATGAAATGTCTCACCGGTGTCACCATCAGTAGTCCGATCAGGAAACAGACCAAACACACGAGCAGGAGCAGAATCTCACGCCCGTGACATCTGCGGATGAGCGTGGGATACAGATCTGACACGGACATTATCAATGCCTCCAGACTGACGAACTAAACACACAAATACAGCGATCAACACTGCTAAACTTACAGCGCACACACCTGAGAGTCACAGCACACCTGAGTGTCCAAACCCAACATGAGTATCATGAGGAAAAAACACACGGCCCACAGCTGCGGCAGAGGCATCATGGACACGGCCCGTGGATACGCTATGAATGCTAGACCAGGACCTGAATGAGACACACAGCATGATATTGATGTATACGTATATAAAAATATATTCACAAGACGACTGTTATATAGAAGTGTGGAATTACACATAACAGGTCCAGTTCTCAGAAAGTTCTGACAAGGTTCTCTCAAAGTTATGAACAAACATTCTTCCATTAACATTAATTCAAGAGCGTTCATTCAAGTTATCTGGTCTTTAATAATATTCTTAAAACGTTAGCTCAAAAAACATTATTTATAAATTTTTCATTGAACATTATATATATATATATTTTGTTACTACTTGTTCCAGAACGTTCAGAGCACATTCAAAAGCAACGTTCCCATAATGTTTGTAAAATGATCAAATGGAATGTGCATATACAGTAATCTGAGAATTACTAGTATTGCATGATTGCTCAAAAACCTTGTTCTTACAGCATATTTTTATTAGCTAGGATGTAGATGATTAGCATGCATACAGTTGAAAACATACCAAATATTTCAGGTGTCTACTTCAGAGCAAAATCTGCTCTCATTGTGAACAGGCATTTATAATTTCCTTCAGAACTTACACAATCACAATTCTTACCTGATTGCACCACATCTGCGATATCCACACCCTGCTCCTGTGCCATGAAGCCAAGCACGGAGAAAATGGCAAATCCTGCAATGAAACTGGTACTGCTGTTGAGGAGACACAGTCTGAAACAGTCCCTGAAACACAAACCAATGCACATTTATGACGGTGTTGTTTCGGTGGTTACTGATTACGTGCAGCTGACAAGTTTAAGTTGATGTACTAAAATGAAACAAACTAAAAGTAATATGAAAATAGATTAAAACTATTTAGAAATATTTAAAAAAGAAAAACTAATAATATTGACAAAAACATAACAAAATTACTGAAAATTAAAATTAAAAATATAAAAAAAGCTAATTCAGAACCTTAATAAAAAAACTATAGTAGTACATAAATAACTACACTAGATACACAAGCACTATAAAACTGCACTAGTAACATGAGCATCATGAGTTTGATTCCCAGTGAATACATGAACTGATAATATGTGTTCTTTTAATGCAACATTCATCGCTTTGGATAAAAGCATTTGCCAAATGCATAAATGTAAATTAATAATTCCAAAAAAGACATGAATTAGGAAAGCGAATAGAGTCATCATTGTTTTCATGTTGACATGTGTAAGAGACTTTGTGAGAGGAAGGACACACTTGTAACAGTCATTGTTGAATTTGTTGTAGCTGCCGAGAGCCGTAAGACTTCCCAGACAAATGCCATATGAGAAAAAGATCTGAGTCCCAGCATCCATCCATACCTCCAGAAGAGAGAGAGAGAGAGAGAGAGAGAGAGAGAGAATTTGAATAGCTTTTTATTACAAATGGACAATAAACAAGTTCACAAAATATAGATCACATTGTACAAAAATAATACATAATCACAGGAAATGTGTAAAAAACAATTCACCTTCAAAAACAGAGTACAATGCTCCTTTGCTACACCATTTCAGTTCAAAAGAAAGAAGATCACCTACTGACTTGTAAGAATTCAATACAAGGGTTGAGAACAAAACAACCACATTTTGCCCAGACTTCTGCTTAATCTTGTTCTTTCTACTTGTATAAACCGCTAATTTAGCTTGACCCAAGATAAAATTCAGTAATTAACAATCATAATGTTTTTTCTTCACGTATTTAGCACCCAATACAAAAATTTCCTCTGAAAATGTTTCATTAAAACAACCAAAAAGACTCCTTAATACAACAAATAAAGGATTTAACCTGGAACACTCCATAAAAGCATGAAAAACTGTTTCTCTTTTAAAACAAAACGGACATTCAGAACTCACTTCAGAGTTGAAAACAGAAACAAAAGCAATTTGCACCATGAAGAATTCTCCATTGTATATCTCCTACTCTCTTTAGTAATGGTGGCTTATACAGGACTCTCCATTCAGGTTTAACATCATCATCTATTTTGAGGAATGAATGCCATGGAGTATCTACTTTTTTTGTTCAAAAATGTCTTATTAAAAACCAGAACACAAGCTTTGTACAACATTTTCCCAGTTACTGAAAAAAAAAATCCAAAAACAAAGATTTGCCAACTTTAAAAAAAAAAACATACAATCATCTAGTTTGGGAAATAAAAATATAGCTGGAAAAGAATCTTCAGCATTAGGAGCCTTTACTCCTTTACAAAAATCTGTTAATGATTTTCTCTCTTCAGTTAGAGCAGACCGCCACTTTGTCAGTAATTGACCAACTTTATGGGTCGAAAAAAATTCAGAGATGAGAAGCAACTTCCTCAGTGTTCATACGATTAGGACCATTAGGATTACTAACCCCTGTCCACCTTCTTCTTTAGACAAATACAGAATACTTTGAGTAACCCAGTGTAATTTATCCCCCCAAAAAATCAACTAGTAAAGCTTGAACTTCTGCTAACAATTTTGGAGGTGGATCAATACAGGCTAATTTATGCCAGAGAGATGAAGCAACTAAATTATTTATAATTAAAATACGCCCCTTATAAGACATATTTGGGGCCAACCACTTCCATTTAGCTAAACGACCGTTAAGTTTTTCAACAACTCCATCCCAGTTTTTCTTTACCATGATCTCATTTCCAAAAAAAACACCTAAGTATTTAAAACCTTCCGTATTCCAACATACACTTTCAGGAGAGAGAGAGACTGACTTATTTTCTGGACTTCATGTTGAGCACATTAGTAAAAATTAGATTAAAATCTTTATCTCTGGCTTTTTGCAAGCACCCTCAAAATTAACTTGTTACAGATAGTCAGTCACTGTTTAAAAAAATATTCTCCAATTCTTTCTCTGCAGACTAAGAACCGATCAAGGCAAAGCATCACAAATGATTCAATGACAAATCAAATGCAATATGATAAAATTGAGTTGAAACTGCATGTAGTCTTTATGTTGGTTGTGTCTAGTAAACTTTTATTCCATTTTCAACAAAAGTTTCAACTGATTGACTCTATGATGCCAAGGGAAAGGTAATAATGCATTTCCTTAATACCGGTATACACACATATGCATATACATATATATACACACACACACATATACACATACATATATATACATACTGTATATACACACATATACACACACACACATATATATATACACATATACATATACACATATATACACACATATATATACACACATACAGTGGGGCAAAAAAGTATTTAGTCAGCCACCAATTGTGCAAGTTCTCCTACTTAAAAATATGAGAGAGGCCTGTAATTTTCATCATAGGTATACCTCAACTATGAGACACAAAATGAGAAATTTTTTTTTTTTAAAGAATTAATTGGTAAATTCCTCAGTAAAGTAAGTATTTGGTCACCTACAAACAAGCAAGATTTCTGGCTCTCACAGACCTGTAACTTCTTCTTTAAGAGGCTCCTCTGTCCTCCACTCGTTACCTGTATTAATGGCATCTGTTTGAACTCGTTATCAGTATAAAAGACACCAGTCCACAACCTCAAACAGTCACACTCCAAACTCCACCATGGCCAAGACCAAAAAGCTGTCAAAGGACACCAGAAACAAAACTGTAGACCTGCACCAGGCTGGGAAGACTGAATCGGCAATAGGTAAGCAGCTTGGTGTGAAAAAATCAACTGTGGGAGCAATTATTAGAAAAGGGAAGACATACAAGACCACTGTGTATATACACACACACATATATACATATATAAACACACATATATACACACACACACACACACGTGTATGTACACACACACACGTATATACACATATATATATACACACGTATATACACACACGTATATACACACACACACATATATACACATACATATATACACACACATACATATATATATATACACACATACATATGTATATGTATATATACACACATATATATATACATATATCTGCTACACGGGGATTCATGTATGCTATATGGGGGTTATTCATATGCGTTATATGTGCAGCAGCAGTATTTCTTACATGCCTACTGCAGCATGTTGTGGATGTATTGGTAGTAGCATTTCTCGGTACTTGCCCTGCCGCAGCAGCAGCAGCGTAGCAGATCTATTCCGCCAAGACCAAATACATTAACATTGTCATGTACATTACCATGCCAATCCCTCAGAGAGTTGTTATGACAGAAATACACACACACACACACTTTTTTCATAAAGGCTTGAATATGTATTTTCAAAATTAAAAATGATTTTACGTTTTAAATTGCTGCATGACGGATATGAAGTAATTTGGTGGTTTAAAAAATTAATACAAATTTTGATATTTAACACAAATATCAAATTACACATATTTAAGGGACACTGTCATCATTTTAGCAAATATTAATAATATGTCAAACAAAACTCCTTCCTTGTTCTTTTTCAAGTACATAGGTAAGGCAAGGCAAGTTTATTTATATAGCACATTTCATACACAATGCTAATTCAAAGTGCTTTACATAAAAGGAAGTAAAATAATCATTAAATCACAACAATAAAACAGGGAACTTAAACTTTTACAATTTAGAAATTGATTTAAAATTAATTTTAAACAGTTAAAATAGACAATTATTACATAAAATACAGTGCAATCAGTTTGGATGTAGCACAGTGCTCATTCAATAAATGCACAGCTAAACAGATGAGTTTTGAGTCTGCATTTAAATGTGGCTAATGTTTTAGCACATCTGATCTCTTCTGGAAGCTGATTCCAACTGCAGGCGGCATGATAGCTAAAAGCAGACTCCCCTTGTTTTGTGTGAATCCTTGGTATTTCAAACTGACTCGAGTGGTCTGTTAGATTTATATTCAGTGAGCATATTAGCAATGTATTTAGCTCCTATGCCATTGAATGATTTATAAACAAGTAAAAGTAATATCAATCCTAAATGTAACTGGAAGCCAGTGTAAAGACCTGAGGACTGGTGTGATATGCTCAGATTTTCTGGTTCTTGGCAGAATTCTGGATGAGCTGCGGTGGCCTAATGGTCTTCTTGGGAAGGCTGGTGAGGAGACCATTACAATAGTCCACCCTGCTGGCGATAAAGGCATGAACAAGTTTCTCCAAGTCTTGACTGGAAACAAAACCTCTAATTCTTGCAATGTTTTTGAGATGATAGTATGCTGATTTAGTTACTGCTTTGACAGGACTACTGACTATCACACCAAAATTCTTGACTTGATTTTTAGTTGTTTGACCCCTAGAGTCAAGGTATGCATTCACCTTGAGAACTTATTCCTTCTATTTCTAGCTTGTACTTATTTGAACAATGTCTAAGAACTTGGTATTACAACCACTTCTTGTGTCTGTATGCCTCTTTAAGAAGAATCGCTTTATGTATCCCCCAATTGTAAGTCGCTTTGGATAAAAGCGTCTGCTAAATGACTAAATGTAAATGTAAATGTAACTTAATCTATGTTTCCAAATGCAATGACTTCAGTTTTCTCCTTGTTTAACTGAAGAAAGTTCTGGCACATCTAACTGTTAATTTCATCAATGCATTGGCAGAGGGAGTCAATGGGGCTGTAGTCATTTGGAGATGAGGCTAGGTAAATCTGGGTGTCACCTGCATAGCTATGATAGAACCAAATTGCCTTTCTCATTATTTGACTTAGAGGGCGCATATACAGGCTAAACAGGAGCGGTGCAAGAATTGAGCCTTATGGGACTCTGCATGTCATGGACGTCCACTTAGACTTATGCTCTCCTATACTCACATAATAACCTCTTCCTTCTAAGTATGACCTGAACCATTTGATTACCATCCCAGAAAGCCCAACCCAGTTTTCTAGTCTCTCTAGATGTATGTTATGATCTACAGTGTCAAACGCAGCACTAAGATCTAGTAGTACCAACACTGATATTTTGCCAGAATCAGAATTAAAGTGAATATCATTTATCTTAATGAGTGCGGTCTCAGTGCTGTGATGCAGTCGGAAACCAGATTGAAAATAGTCCAGGTATCCATTTGAGTTTAAGTATTTGTTCAGCTGATTAAAAACTACCTTTTCAATAATCTTGCCTATAAAAAGGAAGATTTGATATAGGTCTATAGTTGCTCAATATGGTGCTATCAAAGATTGCTCTTTTTCAGGAGGGGCTTAACATAGGTGTTAGTAGTGGTTACTGCATGTTGCACAGATATGCTGCAATGTGTTTAGACAGGCTGTGTTTTACTGTCATATCATGTGACGTACCTGTGGGTCCATCAGCCGTGTGTGATTGGGTTTCAGGTAATAAACAATCCCATCCACAGCACCAGGTAGAGAAACCCCACGAACCAACAACACCAGCAGCATCAAATACGGGAAGGTGGCTGTGACATACACAACCTAGACAAAACAAACAACACGCATTATAACTTAATGAACTACAACTGACAATTTAAAAAACAACATACAATTCAGTTTGCAATTGTATGTACATACAAGCACAATTCATAAAAGGCACAATTTGAAATAAAATCATAAATAAATTAATATTAAAATGAAAAGACTTTTGTTTGCTTGTATTTTAATGCCATGCCAGCGACCACAGCTATTTTCATGGCTAAAACATATGGAGGGATTTAACCAACTAAATTACTGTCACACTACGAGCCAGAGATACAAGGTAAGGATGCAAACAAGAGGGTTTATTGAACAATGTGGAGAGCAAGTTGATGACAGGCGAGTATGAGATGCTAGAGAGTTATTGGGTTCTTCGCTCTGGGTAGTTCGTTGGTATCCTTTGCAGGTATCCGGAGAGGATGAGAACGGGATTGTTGTCAGGATCGATGGAGCTTCTAGGGGTAAGTAAACAACAAATTAGATAAAGGTAGGAGTCAGGCTAAGTTCAAGCTGGTGAACGGTAGACCGGACAGTGAGGCCGTGAGAGGAGTGCAGGGATAGTCTGCTTAATGAGTCTCTGCAGGTGCGGGTGATCAGTATTCTGGTGAGTGTCGGGACTGGTGACGTAGGTGACTGAAGGCAGAGACTCCCTGACATTACCCCCTCCTTCAGGGGCGGCTCCTGACGCACACATGTGGCGACGAGGGCGGCCTCGACCTCAGGGTGCGGTGAAACTCCTCCAGCAACGATGGGTCTAGTATATCATCCCGGGCCACCCAGGACCTCTCCTCCGGTCCGTATCCTTCCCAGTCGACTAGATATTCTAGTCGGCCGCCCTGTCGCCACGAATCCAGAAGGTCCCTGACCTGGTAAACAGAGGGCTGGTCCAAGATTTCAGGAGGAGTAGGTACTTCCGGCTTGGTGGGTCCTGTTGTGGAGGAAACGTGGAATGCGGGGTGAATTCGGTACCTGGGTGGAAGCTGGAGAAGGTAGGTGACTTCATTAATTTGCCTCTGTATGGGGAATGGACCAATGTAGTGGGGACTCAGCTTCTTACAGGGCAGGCGGAGGCGCAGATCCCGGGTGGACAGCCAGACCTTCTCTCCAGGCTGGTAAGTAGGAGTAGAGGTGCGCCGGGCATCTGCGAAGGCCTTATGCCTCCTCAGTGCTTGCTGGAGGTGGACGTGAGCCGAGTCCCACACTCTCTCGCTCGCCCGGAACCAGTAGTCCACAGCTGGAACCTCCAAGGGCTCTTCCGTCCATGGGAAGAGTGGGGGTTGGTAACCGACTATGCACTAAAAGGGGGTCAGGCCAGTGGTGTTCTGTCGGAGGGAGTTTTGTGCATACTCGGCCCAGGGGAGGAAACGCCTCCAGCTGTGCTGATCTTCGTGGCAGTATGACCAGAGGTAACGCCCAAGTTCCTGGATCCTTCGCTCAGTCTGGCCGTTCGTCTGAGGATGTTACCCGGAGGACAAGCTCACGGTCACTCCCAGGAGTCGGAAGGCGGCTTTCCATACACGGGAGATGAACTGGGGACCCCGGTCTGAAACCACATCCTCCGGGATGCCGTAGTTTCTGAAAACATGGGTAAATCTGCAGTTTCTAGTGCTGTTGGCAGACCTTTGAGGGGTATAAATGTACAGGCCTTAGAGAAATGGTCGACTACTACAAGGATACAGGTGTTTCCGTCAGAGATGGGTAGGTCAGTCACGAAATCTACTCCTATGTGGGACCAGGGTCTCCGTGGTACAAGCTTGCCTACGGGAAGATGACGAGGAGTTTGAGACATGGCACAGACTGAGCTTACTAAAGACATCCTGGAATGCCACATAGTCAGATGGGACAGTAGGTGTCTCTTGAGGTTCTGGACTTTCGACTAGGGTGGAGGCAACTTGGGCTCGGACTAGATACGCAGACGGTTTGGGGATCTCCACGAGACAGTTTTGCCGGCACGACTCGCTCCAGCAAGTTACCTCACAGGGTTCCCATCTGACCTCTGGAGAGTGGAGAGTGAGCCAGGGGCATCCCAGGATGATATCGATGGTAGATCCCTTCAGTACCAGAAATGTGATGGTCTCCTCATGCAGACATCCGATCTTCAGCTTCATCAGTGGGGTTCGATAGTTGACCCGCCCACGCCCTAGCGGGTCTCGACTCGGAGCTCTTTGGCCTGATGTTGGCAGGGCAAACAGAGACAGCTTAGGAGGTCTCGTGATATGAAATTGCCCGAAGAGCCCGAGTCGCACAGGGTTCCCATCTGACCTCTGGAGAGTGGAGAGTGAGCCAGGGGCATCCCAGGATGATATCGATGGTAGATCCCTTCAGTACCAGAAATGTGATGGTCTCCTCATGCAGACATCCGATCTTCAGCTTCATCAGTGGGGTTCGATAGTTGACCCGCCCACGCCCTAGCGGGTCTCGACTCGGAGCTCTTTGGCCTGATGTTGGCAGGGCAAACAGAGACAGCTTAGGAGGTCTCGTGATATGAAATTGCCCGAAGAGCCCGAGTCGACGAGGGCGGAGACTGAAACAGAACAATCGGTGGTGAATAGTTGTACTGGTAAGAAGGATAAAGTTGAGATTACTGGTTCGAGTTGAATAGTACTCACCACAGGGCGTGGGGGCCTGACGGGGGCAGGCTTGAATGAAATGGCCTGGAGCAGCGCAGTACAGGCATAGTCCAGCCTCTAGGTGGCGAGTGAGTCTGGTGGAATCCATGTGCATGGGTTCTGGTACTAAGGGACTGCTGGTGGCTGCTGCAGGCTGGTGGACGGCTTCATCAGGCTGGCAGGCTGACAACCGTTGGGAGTTGTGTGTGGCTCTTTGCATGAAGCTCCCTAACCCCATAGTATCGTCATAGATGGCCATTTGAGTGCGGATGCGAGGAATCAAACCCTGCCGGTAGGCACTGAGGGGAGCGGATTCGTTCCAGCCACTAGTCGCCGCTAGCGTCCGAAATTGCAGGGTGTATTCACTGGTGGTAGAAGACCCTTGACGCAGCCGCAGGAGTTGGTCTGGGACGGATAGGATTCCTATAGCAGAGCCAAACACTTCCTTGAAATGATTAGTGAAAGCATCATATGAGTTGATTATGGCACTATTGGCGTTCCATATTGTTCGTGCCCACAACAGTGCTCTGCCAGTTAGCAGGGAAATCAAGAAGGCTACCTTCGATCGTTCCGTAGAGAATTTCTGAGGCTGCATCTCGATGAAGAGTGCCACTTGGAGAAGGAAGCCGCCACACTCAGCTGCGCCACCAGCATAGCAAGCAGGAATGGCCATGGGACTTACAGAGGCAGATTGCGGGGTAGTGACTTTTGTGAGAGAGGCTCGGTTGGTGTTGACCAATTCCTCCAGTACCTCTGCGGGTGTGGGAACCCGGGGATCCATGGAGGTGTATGTCCTTGGTCCGGTCTTCTGTCACACTACGAGCCAGAGACACAAGGTAAGGATGCAAACAAGAGGGTTTATTGAACAATGCGGAGAGCAAGTTGATGACAGGTGAGTATGAGATGCTAGAGAGTTCTTGGGTTCTTAGCTCTGGGTAGTTCGTTGGTATCCTTTGCAGGTATCCGGAGAGGATGAGAATGGGATCGCTGGAGCTTCTAGGGATAAGTAAACAACAGCTCAGATAAAGCTAGGAGTCAGACTAAGTTCAAGCTGGTGAAAGGTAGACCGGACAGTGAGGCCGTGAGAGGAGTGCAGGGATATAGTGTGCTTAATGAGTCTCTGCAGGTGTGGGTGATCAGTATTCTGGTGATTGCGATCTGGTGTGTGTCGGGGCTGGTGACTGAGGTGACGTAGGTGACTGTGAAGGCAGAGACTGCCTGACAATTACATAAATAAATATATTTTGAAACTATTAAATGCATCATGGAATGTTGATATACTGTAAATCAATGAACAATGAAATGTGATAAAATGTGCATAAGAAAAAAGAACAATAAATACATAATTTATTTACTTATATATATATATATATATATATATATATATATATATATATATATATTTACTTACTAAAATAATAAGAAATAAGCCTTAAAGTGCAAAACTTCATAAATACGAAACAAAATGCACCTTGAAATAAAAGGTAAAGAACAACGAAACAAATCTATATATCAACATGTGTCATGAAATTATTAAATATATAATGACAATCAATAATATAATCAATAAATATAAGCACATTGAAAAGCAAGTAAAAAATTAAATGAAACTTGACCTGAAATATGACATATATGCCTTTGAAATGAATATGGTTACTTTCACCTATTTTACATGAAAATCTAAATGAATGAATTTCACACCTTGTTTATTTTTTTATGAATGCATGATTGCACTATGTTTTTATTGCAACATTTCATGATGCTTTTAATGATTTATTAATATATTTATTTATTTATGCATACTAGCTGACATTTCAATACACTTACATGCATTTATTGCAGCATTCCATGATGCAATTAATTATTTATTTATGCCATTTTTTATGCATGCATGCTTACATTCCAATGCACTTTTATGTTTTCATGGCAAATTTTCATGATGCATTTAATGATTTATTTATATATTTAAATCCTCCTAATTAATATGAAAAGAAAAAACTTAAAAAAAAATACAAAAGTTAAAAGTGCTGAAACATCACAGTCCAATAAAATATGCCTCTGGACTGGGCATTAAAAGGCATGAAGGAGGATCTTCTCTTATGCTATTGTATAAAAACATGGGCATCACTCACTAATGCGCAGTGTTTACCTTGCCGGTGGATTTGACTCCTTTCCAGACACAGAAATAGCAGACTGTCCACACCAGCAGCAGACACAGGGCCAGACGCCAGTTTACTGAGCCCAGACGATCCACACTAGCAGACAGGTCCAACACCTCACGTCTGGAGAGAGACACACACTCACAAACATACCATCAAATCCTTCAAATCATTGCCACGCGTTCATACCAGACACTTACTCCCAAAACTCAATGACTGGAGACGTGGCGTTTTCAGAGAGATCGCTCATGTTGTGTCGATCAAACCCCCTGCAGGAGTCTAAAGGAGATACAAGACAATGCATTTACACTATATTACCCAGGATTACACTGATGTACTTTGTTTAAACTTTGGATGCTCTGGAAGTCACTTTGGATACAAAACTCATCTGCTGAATGAAAGCATTTAAATCTAGATGCATTTGCTGTTAATGTTAAACAAAGTCGTTTAATCTAAAATATCACATTTCGAATTTGGCTCGAAATTGCATTATAATGTGGAAAAAGTCTTTCCAAAACCCTGCCCTTAAAAACATGTCAGCCTATCTGATGCCAGCAAACACAATGACTGACAAGCAGAGAGCATTTCTGATTGGCTAAAAAAATAAAAACAATAAAAGACTGTAGCAGAGACAGGTAGAATTTGACATTTTACAAGTAAACTATATATATATATATATATATATATATA